AGCTGTAGGTATAGATGACTGTGTAAAAAGAAATTAAACGTTACCCTTTTTAGCGAACGTTTACGACAATCATTTACATACAAAGTTGGTAAAGAGAAAACCTAAAAGTGTTCGCCTACGTAAAGATACAAGTTTGCGCATTAAATGGGATGAATGATGTCTAGAAGACAGCTCATCATTTAAGCTAACAACCTCGACTAACATTTATTTGATATTTTGTTCTCTGATATACTCCACTCCTACGCATTTTTAGGTGGTCAGAATGTAGAGGCCTGCGAGGGCTCGAAATGCGAGAGCGGCCGTTGTAGACGTGCTGCGTGCAATCCCGCGCATTGTCCGTCGCCAGCTCGGTGTAGGAATAACCGCTGCGTTTGTCCTTCAGGTCTTGTTGGAGATCATTGTCAACAGAGTAAGTATCAAATAACTTATAGTCCTAGAAATTATAAGCGCCGTCATTATTGACGTGCAAAACAGCACAATTGTGAAATTCTAATTTAATTTGTCTGAATCTAAAAGTTTTATTAAAAATTAAACAGGTTTTTATTTTTCAAGTTTTTTTATTCAAATATAAAGATTTTTTTAAAGAAATATAAAGATATAATCAAAACAATATCATATTACATTTATATATGAAAAAGAACGAAAATTTATATTTTTAGATGTAACTATATCAATACCACAATTTGATGGAGACGCAATGATCTCTTTAAGTCGACCAGCTTCCAGTATCAGCGGACAAAGGCTCAGTACTTTACCAATGAAACCCAGTTATATAGCATTTAATTTTAGTACTGCCGATCCCAGTGGACTCTTACTTTGGATTAATATGGTAAGCTACGGAGTTAAGCTATACACAAAAGTAACTGATTTGTAATAAGTACATGCTTGTAGATATAGATTATTTAATTCTTGTTTGTTAAGCTATCGACGGCGAGGAGTGACGCAACTTTTCCTCTCGTCACATTTACCGCTAGTGTCTATTGAAATTTAATATATATCCAGCACGAAATACGAGTTCGTTTGATATCATTTCAACTCATCTTTGGTAGATCATCGTAAATATTTTGATGTAATAGACGCAGTGCCGGTACTATGTTTCTATTTTGTCTATGTCTCATATATATAAAAAAATCATATCTTCTTGGCATTATCACATTCGAAATAAAAATTCATCTTTTCGATTCAATTAATTCCAACAGATAGCGATTTCGAAGTTTTTATATGCAATGTCGATGTAGCTCTCACAATATAATGGGGCTGGAGTTGGGGAGCTTGAGAGTCATAAAGTACTGATACAGGTCCACATAGAATGACAGTTCTTTATAATTATAGGGAAATGATTATATGGGCCTTGGCCTAGAAAACGGTTACCTTAAATTAGTCTGGTCACTACACTGCAAATATGCAGACATTAGACAACCAAAAATCACGTCCCGGACTATTCAGTCGGGTTTCATGGCAGACGGATTATGGCACACGGTGGAATTACATTTGAAGGGAAATATATCACTCAGTGTAAACCAGGCTGTATATATAGAAGAGATGTGTATGAGCGATCATGAATTCATAGATGTGGAAACTTATATCGGTGAGTGAATTTAACCAGACGACAATTTAAGAAAATTACTTGAATGAAAATTTAAGTGTCAGAATTACTAGCTTAGGCCCCAGTTGCAGCCTAGTTCGACGATTTTAACAGGGTTAAGGTGCTTACAAACATTTTCTAAAAAAAGTCAAAAAGGACCTTGGCGATTGAAGAGTTATGGACAATTTATTTCCATTTCTTCTCGCCCGTTCTACGCCCTTGATTTGAGAACAGGCAGTAAATGTAAATTTAGGTGCATATTTTTTTTTAATGAATATCATTAATGTACAAGAAATAAGTGTACATTGAGTTATCTATGTGATAAACGATTTTTTGATTTAAAATATAAACATAATAACTAATATTATTATTGTAAAAGAACTACGCAATAATACATGCATATTTCTAGATAAAAACAAAAAAAAACATATCATAACTAATAAAACTTGATAGTCTTAAATACTGCAAGCGTGCAAGATACATGTTTGAACCGTCATATCTTAGGAGTTTTGTATGACTGATAATGCAAAGTAAAGTACTAGTACAAAAGTGTACCATAAGTCTTCCTTCCTTTAGAAGTTTGGCTTTTTTGCCAGTAAATTGTCGCTTAGGCAAGTATGCAGCAAAAAATGTAATCAAAATTATGTTAAAAGTTAAAACTAATACGCCATAATTCGATAATTAAGTTTTAGAAAAGTTGAGTTTTTTTTTAATGACATGCTAATTAGATGTTTAAACTTTAAACGATGTATTTAAAACATTTTTACAACAGGTGGCCTGACTGACAGCGACACCAAAGTGAGGAAGCTGTTTCCTCAGAATTTTCGCGGTTGCATCGATCATATATCAACTGAAATCAGTCACTTAACCAATTTCACGGACGTGTACAGCGAGAACTTAGCCACGTGCCAACCATTTCCTACAACTTGACACATTTCGAAGCACCTTACACGTATTGTCAAATACGCATAGTACAAATTTTTTCTAGTCTTCATTATTTCTATGTTTTAGAATCAATTTATATCTTTCTATAGATTTGTAAGTCGTACTTTAAATAAAATAAAACATTGTCGTACACAAAATATAGTTTTATTGATATATTCACGTTTAATAAATTGTATACATAACATCATCAAATATTATATTATAAACATATACATTTCGTTATACGTTACTAATTCAAACACAAATACAATATGAGATGTTATCCCCATTAATACAGTGTAATAAAAAAAATAGTTTCAACATAGTGTAGTTTCGGTATACAGCTCAACACCAGATAATATTTACATTCCCATAAAGAAACATGTACATTTAAATAGAATTCATTAGGCCTATTTACACGTGGAATAAACTTGGAATGCCTGTAGTACACAATTTTGATTGCGGCGTATTGTACAATATAAAATTCATTTAGGAACAATTCCTTTATACAAAGCTATAAATTCTGATTTCTAAAAAATAAATATTATATTAAGCGATAAACTAACCGATTGCACATTATGCTTATAAAATTTTCGAAAATAAAACATCGCCAGCTGGGCTGACAAATTGGCACTAGGGTTAAAGTGCGGTCGCAAGTTCACTGCCTCGAAAACACCAAGGAATGTCTAATGAAACACAGAAATACACGCGTAGCGAAGCTTATTTAAGATAGACAATGGTAAGCTCTTGTCCAAGACAAACACCGATGGAGCTATTAGACATTTAATGCATTAAGGCCTAGGTGATTATAACTTTATTACTATTATAATACCACATTAGTTGACATCTTCAAACAACATTTATTATCATGAATGACACTAAGAACATCAAAGCGAATTGCATAAAATGCATTTCCTATCTCCATAAATGAATACAATAAACTTACTTCGCTTATCTACAAACTATTTCATGGAAAAATTATGTTTAGAAGAATATCTGTTAATATTTTTTCTAATATATCAATAAAAGTAACAAACATCAATACATGACTTTGATCTATTTTTTTTTTTAGTTTTTTTTGGAAATATTTTCCTTACAGATTAGGTCGCTTCCGACATGACTTAAAATACCGGGTGGTAACAATCTCAATAAATTTTATAATCTCTAAATTTATAAACAATTTATTCTATATTACAATAATGTCATCGATAAACGTCATGTACTATTAATAAAACAAATTAATCAATATTTAGCATAAAACGTTAAAGGTACATAGAAGTTAACGAATAGTAATAATAAGGAATAGGATAATAATTGGACAGTATAACATGCAAGGGGAGCGGGCTCACCCACATTGACGAATAGTTGGCTTTACTTCGCTAAGTCTAACCGCTCAGTCGGTCCACATCTAAATAGTGTTTTAAAAACTGGTTTCGAAAGCCCATAAAACAATCCTATAGAAAGCATTTCATTTAAAAAATCTCAGTCTCAATCGCATAAGGAGGTGATCACAGCACACACACTGGAAACTCGTTGCTTTACGCGGGACCTCGCCCCTCTAATCGACTTTATCATTACAGCACCGACATCACTAATTTGCTATGCTTATCATAAAATATATGCAACATACTGATTGAAAACTTTTATAAAAATATCAAATGTATGGAAAACATACAGAGATAGGAGATTGGTATTGGAAGTGATCTCATATAGCTAAAACAATTCAATATTTAATAAAATATATAAAGCTGCTAAACTGAATCAGTATAGACTAGAAACGAAAGTCGAAGATTACCGACACACGAATGTAACACTTCCTACGATACAATTTACATTGAAATGGCAACATCACGTTCATACGTATAAAACATCTACGAGCGGGGACTGATTGTAAAACTTGAATGTCGTACAAATGTAGGCCGTCTGGGCGAAACGCCACAATTCAATACAAAAACTAACACCGATATTTGAGCTCGCCTAATCATAGTGAATATGTAAAAGTTAGAAATGAAATATTACACCACTATGCGAGATATAATAACTGCCGTCTCGTATTAAACGACGGCTGAAGTTACGCTAAATATGTACAGTTCGATGGATCGGGGCGGAAGCGAAGGACTTCGAAGCGTTAGGATTTAGATTTAGGCGAACATATAAGACGACAAGGATTCGACCCTCGTCCGCCCCATCGAGACAATTCGGATACTCCTACCTAAATATAATTGCACTCCTGAAGCCGCGCGTGCCGCAAACGCGCACAACGTCACTCGATTTGTATAAAAATTGCACCGTACCTTGTTCCCGGATCGAAACATTCTTACTACGGATACAAAAAAAAAAAGAACGGCCCAACCGACCGTACCTAAAATCAACGAACCTAAAACGGGCACTGGAAACCTGAATATCCGCGCTAGGCCATCGGGCCAGACGACTCGTCGGGCGTCGGCTAGAGGCGCGCCAGGGCCCGGGGCCTGGCCGCCGCCAGCGCGCGTCACGGCACCGGCTCCACCAGCCGCTGTACTAGCACCGCCACCAGCACCGCCAGCAGGAGGAAGCCGCCCGCCATCACTAGCGCCACCTGGCGGGGAGACAGGGTGCGCGGAGGCCGCGGACGCCGAGTGCGCCCTCCGACCGGGGCCGCTCCAACGGCCAGCCGAGTTGCACCGGACCATGCGCTCGTCAGCCCGTTCCGCACGGCGCAGACGCGCAACAGATACTCTGCGCTGTATTCCAGATCTTCCAGTTGGAACTGCGTCTCCGTGCCGGAGTAAATCTGCGCATAACCAAATCTGTTTATTGTTGTATCATAATCAATTGTTTCTTTTCATGCCGACTATACGAGGAGAGCGCCACCTTTTTTGTATAGCGTAAAAGAGATGTACACATGTGTTAGCTTAACTATGTGTGGGTAATATTTAGTCATAGGTAGAGTAAAATGAAAGTGCACCAACCTGTTTGTAGACGGCATCTTTAGCTCGGGCACACTGTAGCACGAACTCGGCATCGTCGAGAGGCTCCCAGGCCACTAGCGCGACTTTCGGGGCAGTGAGAGTGGCAGATGGGGACGCGGGCACTGGAGGCGGAGCGCTGGGTGTGGTGGAGGCCACCGCCGCCGACCATGGGCCTCGGCCGCCTCGTTCCTCGCTCGCTCGGATCCGGAACCAGTACGTCGTCGCCTCTCGCAGCTTCTTCACCTTGCAGGCGCGGGCCGACCCACGGTAAACGGGTCGGAACTCTCGCGCGTCCGGGGCGCGCATCTCGACGCAATACTGAACTCCTTCCGACGCTTCGGCCCATTCGAGCCGAATGTGGTTGTGCGCCGCCTGCGCTACTCGCAGCCGCGGCGGGGCCGGTGGCCGCGGCCGTGTTCCCGCTCGAGCCTCCTCTGACCACTCGCCGAGACCGAGCTCGTTGAGAGCCGCCACCCGAACGCCGTACACGGTGTTCGGCTCAAGGCCCTCCACCAACTGCTCCGGCGTCGATCCCTCGGACTCGAAGGCTTCCTCTCCGACTTTCACTCGGTACGATAGGATCTCGGCCCCGTGGCACGCCGGCACTCGCCAAAACAGATGCAGCGAGTCGGCGGTCGATTCGTGTCGGATGCCCGTCGGGGCGGCGGGAGGGGCTCGCGGGGTCAGCGCATCCTTCATACCGGACCAAGGCCCGCGTCCCGCCGCGTTGGTCGCGCACACGCGGAAGAAGTACGGAGTGAACGGGGTCAAATTTTCGACCACGTACGTCGTTTCGGTTCCTCGGTAGACTTGTGTGAACGAATCGTCCACGTTTATTCCGCTCATTTCTACTTGATAGTCGACGATCGGAGCGCCATTAGAAGCGGGCGGAATCCATTCGAGGCGAGCACTCGTCGGACTTTCGATCGTAGCCACGGGAGGTTCCGGGGCGTCGGGAGGAGCCGCCTTCGTTTCGAACCGGAGGGCGGGCGAGGGCGCACTCACGCCTACGGCGTTACACGCGGTCACCCATAATCTATACTGAGAACCGGGTATTAAATCTCTCACTGTGTATTCGACCTGTGAGCCAGTGTAGGCTTGACGAACGACGCCGTCGTCGCCCGCTATTTCCACTCGATATTCTGCGATAGGAGCGCCGCCCGTGCATTCCGGAGGACGCCAACGAACCGACGCTACAGTGGCACGAGGTTCCGTGACCAGTTCTGGAGCGCCACACGCCCCGGGAATGGACGCCTCGGTCGAGAGAACGTCCGAGACGGCCCAGTCGCTCTCGCCGGCTACGTTTGCACAACGAACTCTGGCACGATACGACGTTCCCGGTGATAATCTGTCGCAATGTGCTTCCCGTTCGGTCCCTTGATAAGTGCAGCGGTAGCCTTCACCGCCGTCGAGCTCCAACGTGTATGAGTCAATCTTGGCCCCACCGTCGTCACCGGGAGGCTCCCACTTGAGCCTGAACGCTCGCGAATGTACTTTCCCGCGAATCGCCGGTCGGCCGGGAGGGCCGGGTCTCTCCGGAAGCGTAGTGTAGGTCACTTCTATTGACCAAGGGCCCTGGCCGTCCGCGGTCTCGCAGCGCAATCGAAATCGATAGTCCGTGGCTCTTCTTAGGCCCTCGCACACGTAAGTGCAATCGGGTCCGCTGTACACCGGCAAGAAGCCGTGCCCTCGGCTCGCGTCGTCCATCTGCAGCGTGAACTCCTCATCGGCGCGGCGGTCCCAGTTGAGCTTGAGCGCGGTGGTAGTGGGGTCGGACAAGAGGGGCGGGGCGGGCGCGGGTGGCGGAGATCCGGCCGTCCACACGACGGTCTCCTCGCTCCATTCCCCGCGGCCGCATTCGTTCACGGCTGCGATGCGGAACCGGTATCGCGTCTGCGGCCGGAGGTTGTTGACTGTGTGCTGGCGGGTGCGCGGTCGCGTGATCTCTGCGAAGCCCTCGCCGGAGTCCATTTCGAGGATGTAGTGAGTGACGCGGGCGCCATTTTCGGTGGCAGTAGGCCAGCGCAATAGTAGCGAGGTCCGCTGCCTCTGGGTGACGCGGGCGGAGGGCAGTTGGTCCGGAGGTGCGGGGGGCGCGCGGAATATGGCAGCCTCGCTCGCGGCGCCTATGACCTCGCCGGCGCGGATTTGTAGACACACCGAGTATTCACAGCCAGGCCTTAAGTCTCTTACCCTGCAAATATATGCATATGAATTTATTTAAAAGAGTAAAAGTTGTCAAAGTGACAACATGAAAAAAAATATTTATGAGAATTTAGAAATAAAAATTGATTAAATTAAATGGAATATGATGCAAAATGATGATATTTAATGCGTAAAAAATGGAAATAAACAAAATCAAGAAAAAAATTAATTACGTAAAGTCTAAGAAACGGACAATTTAATAGTGGTCAGACGAAATTTGCTTCTTCCTAAACCTTAACTATATTTTCTCAGTGCTCTTGCTTGTGCTCTTCATGCTTTTGCTTGTGCTCCTGCTTCTTCTTGTGTTGTGTTCCTGCTTTTGCTTGTGTTGTGCTCCTGCTGATGTCTGTGTGTTTATTTTATTTTCATATTTTCTTTGTATATATATATATATATATATATATTATTGTCACGTATTTAAGTTAATTTAAGGTTATTTAAGTTTTTTTTTTTTTGACTTATTTTAAGAGTACTAATTTTGTATTTTTCATAAACGGGAGTGGAGTGTACATATGGAAAATTTGACCTGTGACCTATGTAAAAAAAGTTTTAATACAATCCGGGGCTTAAAAATACACAAAACAAAGATACACAGAGACACTATACAAAATTCACAACTTTCTTTTAATAACAGCACAGATAGGCAAGCGACACCAGACCACATAAAACTTCAAACTTTACTTTCGAATTTAAAAAAAACATGTCCAGTTGTTAAACGCATACCTCGAGGTGCCCGGATCTCCATCGCCTCTTTATTAGAATCATATATTACGCAATGCATAACAGAAAACAGTACAGACTCATGGGAGAAACTATTGACTTTTCCTTATAGTTTCTTGCATGTACAGTCAGTGATAACCTTTCGCTAACTCAAAACTTAAAAACAATTGTAATGATCCCACATGTATAAATCCATTTTTGATTCCGGCTATTAGAACCTTTTCGAAAAAGACCAAAATGTGTCTCAAAAATAGTTGAACAAAAAATTAACGATGGAGATCTAAAGGGGGCCGCCAGACTTTTTTCTCAAATGATGTACTGGCCCTTGACACCCGGATACACTTGCAGCTCTTACGTCAAAAGCACCCCAGTGCTCCAGACACACCTTTTTTTTTTAGACCCTCCCACAGACGTCAGGCCTGCCTTCAAATTCAGTTACGGATGAAATTCTAAACGCTATAAATTCGTTTAAACCAGGATCAGCTGCAGGCTTGGATGGGCTGTCACCCCAACATCTTAAAGATTAACTTCATTCAGTGTTGGTGACAGGTGCTAGGTTTTAGAAGCTCTTAAAAAACTCGTAAATAAAATGCTTTGCGGGGAGATAAACCAAGCTATTGCTCCTATTTTATATGGGGCAAACTTGGTGGCCTTACCAAAAAAGAGGTGGGGTGAGGGCCAATTGTGAGGGATTTTGAGATTAACCTCGAAAATTGCAGTAAAACATATAATTAGTAAATTGAACAAAATTTTTGAACCAACACAATTGGTTTGGCACTAAAGGTGGATGGAAGGTTACACGCTTTGGACGCTTTTTCTAACGAAAAATTTGATGTGTTGTTGAAGTTGAGTCAAGAATGATTTAATTCAATCAGCAGGGACACCTTGTGACTAAGTCTTTTGAAAACATTCCAGAAATATATAACTATCTTTTACAGTGTTACTCAGAGCCATCAAAATTAACATACAAGAGTTACGAACTCTCTTCAGAAGTTGGTTGTCAACAAGGTGATCCTCTTGGGCCGGCTATTTTTAGTCTCGCAATAAATTTTGCATACAAAATTTAAAATCAAATTTTAACGTCTGGTATCTTGACGATGGTACTCTAGGAGGTAACGCAGATGTAGTATTTCAGATCTATCAAAAAAATAGATTTTAGTTCAATGGGTCTAACTTTAAATTTTGAAAATGTGAAATATATCTGGTGAGAATATGGACACCGCCATACAATAAAAAAAATTAATACCTTAGCCCCAAATATAAAAATAATAAATAAAAAATCGCTGTACCTCTTAGGAGCACCGATTTTCAAAGAAAGGTTTTGAAGAATACATTAACTCGACAATATCAAAATTTAAAGATCTTTCTCACCGTCTTCTGGATATTACAGCACACTCAGCTTTGTTCATTTTAAAATTCTGCCTTTTTATTCCCAAATTAACTTACGTACTTCGCTGTAGCCCTCTATGGAATCATTCAGTTTTTTTAAGTGATTTGGATAATCTTTTAAAAACTTCTTTGGAATCTATTTTAAATGTTCGTTTTGATACACCTTCTTGGAATCAAGCATCGCTTCCTGTTCGCTTTGGCGGATTAGGAGTACGCAAGATAACAAGTGTAGCTCTTCCAGCGTTTCTCTCATCTGCTCACAAATCTAGCAGTCTGGTAGGTAAAATCCTTAGATATTATTCTACAAACTACGAGATTGCGGATTTAACAGATGCAAGAAACGCGTGGATAGCATCACCCAGGTTTGAGTTTGCCTTCTAGCGTCAACTTTCAAAGAAGCTGGGATGATCCTCTTTGCAAATGTGAATTCAAAAAGTTATTAGGTCACATTCCAATAACAGACCGTGCAAGGTTGATGGCTGTGGGGTTAGGGAAGTGGACATTGGCTTAATGCTTATCCTTCGCCAACACTGGCACCCTTTTAGACCCTGAATCACTTCGAATTGCCATCAGCCTAGTTAGGAGTGCCCATATGTACTCCCCATAAGTGTCCCTGTGGTTTTGAAGTAAGTAGCCTTGGACACCATGGCCTACACTGCCAAGAGTGCAGGTCGTTTTTCTGCCATGCCGCGCTAAACGACATTATACGCCGTCTCTTGCCTCTGTCAATGTTCAGCAATTTTGGAGCCAACAGGCATCGCAAGAGACGATGGCAAGCGGCCGGATGGAATGTCTTTGATCCCTTGGAAAATGGGACGGGCTTTAGTATGGGAGTACCTGTGTGACACTTTGCCCCGTCTCATCTCCTTCGGACAAGCAAAAAAGCTGGCGCGGCCGCAGAACAGGCAGAAATTAACAAACGGCACAAATATAAGAGTCTTTCCTCCAACTTCAATTTTGTTCCCTTTGGAGTAGAGACTCTTGGGCCGTGGGGTTCAAGTGAAGGCGCTTATTAAAGATTTAAGTTGGCGCCTGGTAGATAGACCGGTGACCACAGAGCTGGCACTTTCCTGGCTCAAAGAAAAGTCTCGCAATACAGCGAGGAAATGTGCCAGCGTTAAAGGTACATGCCAAGGGACCAAACTTTTTAAATTTGTTTTGATTTTCTTCTTTCTTCTTTAATTATTTTTATTATTACTTTATAGGTTAAGAACATTGTAATACTGTATTTGTGTAAATAATAAATAAATTAAATATTTAAAAAATCTCAATATTTTTAATTAATAAAAGAGTAAAGTCATCACATCACACACATCACAGTTCTAGAACCATCTGAAGTAACGGTTTAGTCTTCAACTCTACTATTAAATTTAAAAGACATATTTTCTATAAATGCATCATTTGAAATATTAATTATTAGTATTGCAATTACTATCTTGACAATACACTTTTAACATTTAAAAAATTTGTCAAACCCTACTCCATTAACCAGACAAAACATTAATGAAATAAATTACCTGCACGATAGTGAAGGTCCACTATAAATAGCCTTGTACCGACCACGGTCTCCCAGTAGTAAATCATATGTCAGATCAACATTGGGCATAGTCACACCTTCTGGTATTGGGGAGTTCCATTGCACAAGAGCAGTTGTTGGGGTCATATCACTGACCTGAAATTGTAAACAATTAATATAAAACTTCAGCAAGCAAAAACATAAATCTTTATAAAAGAAGGACTTATTCCACAAGATAGTCGTAGTCAATAATAGGTACTGAATGAACTGAACAAAAATTAATACTAAATTAAGCAGTTTGCTTTTGGCTTACTAATATTGCATTTTATTTGTTTTAGTATAAGCAGCCTATGAAATTTATAATTACATGCTCTATTTTGTGTTACCTGAGGAGTTCTCGTAGCAGACAGCAAATCTAGCAAAGCCTGTGTATCATTGTCATCGTCGCCCTGTATTGAAGCACCTGCTGAAGAACCCTCCCCCTCAGACCATGTTCCTGATGAAGCTCCACCACTACCACCTCCACGTCCATTAAGTTCCTTGCGTGGCGACAGTGACGGCGTACTGGCACCTGAGTTAATTTCTGTAATTTGATTGAATCAATATTAGCAAATACATTCACTCTGATACATTTGTAAGATTAGTTTATAAACTAAATTGAATTTAGAATTAAAATTGTGTAAACTTTAATTGCATCACTTTAATAAAATTGAAAGGTCTAAAACTGAAATTAAATATTCTAAACTATGTATTTATACTATAAGTTACAACATGTCTTTTACATAATTCATACTGTGTGTGAATTTCTACCTGTGCCATTATTTCTATTATTTTGCTTCCTTTCCAGCTTCTGTTTTAATTTGGAATACTGCCGCTGAGTTCTTTCATCTTTTGAGTATAATGGTTGTGGTGGTGGTGAATGCTGCATGTGGTGCGGAGGCACGTGATGGTAGTGTGTTGTGTACCCCGGATTATAGAAGTGCTGTGGCCCGCTTGCACCATTTGTGGGACCCTGGAATGTTAAATGATACAAATGAACACGTAAACAAACATATGGCGCCTAATAGCTCGTCAGTTACTTTAAGTTATGTTTAATACTATTATCGAAAACAATAAATGACATATGTAGATTCGAATATTGAATATAATAATAAAACAAATTCACTTAACAGTTTATTAAAGAAACCGAAAAATATTGTGGCTTAATTCAAATACAAACGATAAGTATTAGATTTCTTTCTAATAACTCTGGATATCTTCTATCTAAATACACAAACTAACCTCGGTGTTTTCCTTTTCATCAAGTTTTTCATTAGAATCGCACATAATTTAGGGAATTACTTGTTATATTTTATTGTTTACGTAAACTACTATTCAAGTTATCTACCATAAACGTCAATATTCAAAATCTAAACGTCAATGCCAAGTGCCACGTACTGCCAACATGTACACTTTGTAATACAAAGTTTGTATCAATATTCAATGATAACAAATAAATTCCAACGTACGCGATCGATTTACCGTGACGTATGATAATTATAATTTAACAAAATAATATCAGCTTAGTATACGTGTATCACGGTTAACTTCAACTTTATAATAGCTGTTCACTGTTCACATAAAATAGTCGTATAAATTTCATGATTGACGTTTGTTTTACGAATAATCGATAAGAACTGATGCCGGCTACATATTGGTAAACCGTGCATTTAGTATGAATAAAAACATTCTTAACTAATAGTTTGTGTTTACTTAGTACTTTAGCATAAGAATTCAATCGAATCATTTAGCAAATCGAAATTGAATAATAATAATTTAATATATTATAAACACTGAAAATGCATGCATCTGTCTTTCCTATTTGATTTTTATAAGATGTCGCTATATTTTTGATGACTGAAACGATACACATGTCATACATTCAACGCTTCCTTTGTGTTGGCGCCTGTTTTTCACAGATGTTCGTTTTAACTTTTAAGGCTTATATTGATTATAGATTTTTAATTTTATATCGGCTTTTTGTGTATTGATGGATTTTAGATATGGTGTTAAAAAAAAAAAAATTTAGAATGAAGAGTTTTGTGCATAGGTATTATTTACTCACATATGGGTGGGGTGGTTGGTGAAGCGGCGGGGCCTGATGGTGGGGCGGTTGGTGGTGAGGCTGGTGATGCGGCTGGTGATGATGCTGGTGCGGGTGTACCAGATAGTGCCGCATGCCCTCATCCATCACTGGCGGCATCAACTGTGGCATCATTGTCGCTGATGTTACCACCGGCATGCCAGCTATTAGATAGTTTTTTAGTCATATAATGTCGTATTAACTTCAATTTTAACTTAATTTAAATGCAGTATATTTATGTTTACATGCGTAGAGTTCTAAAGATTTTTTGTCACAAGTTAGAATGTAGTACAAAGATAAGCACTTATATGACTTATTACTAACAAACTTATTTGCATATTTTTAACTTAATTACGGAAATCCCGGGTCAGGGAGACATAGAGCAAGCGGAGGAGGCCTTTGCCAAAAAAAACTTACATAGTTTGCATGTCAAAACCGTAAATGTGATTTTGAATAAAGTCAATTTTTTGTAAATAAAGTCAGAAGTTCGATACCGAAAAAATCTAAATAAGACAGGATATTTTATTAATAGCAATTCCAAAAGTATGTTTTTTAATACTGTACCTAAATTCAATACATTTTACGTGCGGTTTGTCATTGTCTTTTAAAGAGTTATACCGGAAACAGTGTTAACCTCAACTACAATGATGAGTCAGCTTCAAATGTGAATGAAGAGTGCATGAATGGGCAACACATACATATTTGGTATTAATTGGAAATGAGTTTTAAGGAAAATAATGAGGCAGTTAATAACGTTGTTTAATAAATTATTTTGTTAAACTGGTGAATTTAGTGCCTTTATTTTTTTAAAGTAATTTTATTATTTTAGTAATTTCAGTTAGCTTCAATATTTTTTTGCAGCTAAGGTAAAGTTAGATACTTGATATGTTGAGGCTATTATGGGTTATACAATATACATGGACGACTCATTTTATTGTTGCTTGCTTGTTGTGAGTGAAGATAGACAGGGGAATACGCAGGCCGCGAACCGTATTTAAAATGACAAATGACATTGACGTCGTCCGTTCCGCTTCGGAATTAGCCTCTATCCGATTTGGTGGATCGAAACATATTAAAACTTACTATAGTCAGCGTGCATGGTGCACATATGCGTGTGTTGCGGGTGCTGCGGCGGGTGCGCGCACATCTCCGGCGGAACATAATAGGGCTCCGGCGGGTAGTACTCGCCGTAGTAGCCGTCGGGGGCGCCGCCCGAGCCTCCCTCGGCCACTCCCACGCCCACCATCCTCAACGCTAGCAGATCATTGTAAGCTCGAGATGCATCCGTGGCCTCGGCGCACGTGATGCACTTCTGTCAATCTGGAATAAAAAGTCATACATTAGTGTACAATAGTTGATAAAGGGGATAATATACATATAAACTAGATTAAGTTCGCTTTAATAGTAAAACGATTAAAACTAAAATATATTTATGGTTAAACATAAGCGCAAGCATCGTGACGGTATTTCCCTTTTAAATGGATGCCTGTCATGGCGTCTCACGACTTCAACTTCGATGAGCCCACAATCTGTGTCAGTGATTATGGCATCAGTGGTTTGACAATCTACGTTCAAGCGTTGCTTACAAAACCACAATACATAAGACAAAGCGCTTTGTTTAAAAACTACAATTGAACAGGAACCCATATTGAAATAACATAATATACTAAAATAAAATCGACTGGACTAGTAAAGGGCCAATGATCTGGAAGTATTGTAAGTAACATATTGTGAACCAAAACGCAATGTGCTGATAGGAAGGTTTATCGAATGCGATGGGGATTCCCCTTGTAACAAGAAATCCGAGACCTGGTACTGACAAAGTCTATTGTAAACAAAAAGTATTACGAAATGCTATTTATATTCTGACATCGAATTTGATTCTTTGTTATGACAAGAGTAAAGTTTGATTTTCTTAAAATAATGTAGTGTACCTAATAAACTATAAGTATAGTCTATGAGACGAAGCTTCATCTTAATTTATATAAATTACGCGTCACGTTATTTGTCCGCTATGAACTCCTAAACTACTAAACCGATTTCAATCAAATTTGCAGCACCGTGTGCAGTTTGACCTAACTTACAAGATAGGATAGCTTACATATATATAATTCTACTGTACGTGTGTATGTCACTGAACTCCTCTTAAACGGCTGGACCGATTTGAATGGTTTTTGGCTAGAGTCCTAGATGGTTTAGATTCACAAATCAGCCCGGCAGATGGCGCTGCAGTCGGTACTTTCATACATTGTTTAATATCCTAATCGCTTGAAATATGCAGGACAACGTCTGTCGGGTCCGCTAGTAATATAATAAAACATTTTGTTATACTGTTTTATCTAAAACTGTCTCGAACACAATGTGATAGAACGATAAGTCGAATGTTTACACTGATTTCGTTGTTATGAACAAGTTATAATAACTTCTAGCTTGAAGAAACTCTAGAAAATATACAGTAGAAAATACAGAAAAACAAAATATAAGGTATTGTTACTTTAAAGCTATTGGAATGCAACCTCTAAGAATAGCTCGATAATTTGTTTACAACATCGGAGTTACGCTCTTGACTGGATATCGATTTTATAAATTGTTTAATGAGCTGTAACTGTTTGGAAGAAGAAAAATATTTCACAAAAAGGTGTTTGACAAATCAGATTTAAATAATACACAATGCTGGAATGATTGACGGTTCCTTATCGTTACATATTGATTTTATGTTACTGACGAAATATTTAGCACAGACCAAAGATAAGGCTCGGTTATATACAACAAGAGGTTTAAAGTATAGAAGGATACAATGTAGGTACAATGTCAATAGTAGTTAAGAGCACGTAGAAGATAGGCGTATTCCAGCCCGTCATTCATCGACTGATTATATTTAATTGAATAAACGGTGAGGTGGCGATGCGTTCGCGCCGGATTCCGTCCTCTTGTTATGTAAATATCTGTCCAGTCCGTCTGGCAGGGTCACGGACAGAAACGCAAATAAAGTCAAAATTATTACACGTGTAAATTTTAATGGAACAAACATTTTCGATCGTGTCAATACATTAAATAGATGTTCTATAGTATTAAATAAAAAACTTGTTTAGAGGCGGCACAAAAGTCTAATAGTAGGTATATCGATTTCACGCTAGCGTAGTCAGTTTAGCGTATAGGTTTTTATGAGACTGCTATCGTAGTTCGGATAATTGAAACCCGAGTACATATCGAATGCCTAATCTCACTGCTGACGCACATACCAACATTTGCACAGTTATGAGTTATGTGTCGTTCTAGAATGTACTTCGAAGAATTCGTATTTGCAATCTACAGAAATACCATGCCGTAAAGTGTCACAAAAGTAATATTTACTTATTCCTAATTTTATCGCAGTTTATCAGAATCGACTTTGCGTGGCTTCATTTGGAATTTCCAAATGTCAAGAAGTGCAAAAGGAAGTTATCTAAACGCGTAGCTCGAGTCGAGAGCCGAGACGTTCTGAGAACTCATTAACATAGCAAATGTGAGGACATGGCACGAATCGGCCTACTAAACATCGCTTGGTTACATTCATGTAAAGTATTTACTATTAAGTGCTTCGGAAAATTTTGAGTTTTAGTTACAGTTATTTAACCAGAATTTATTTGTCTTTTATTTGTGAGACTGAAGATGCAGTAGGAATAGTATAAAGACGAAGACATAGGGACACGGAATTGACCTGATTGTCTACGTATAAATAAATTTAAAAAATGTCTTTTTTTGGTCCAATTCAATTTAAAGATACATTAGGTTATTTTAAAAATTAGTACGACCTCCGAAGGGATGAAAGCCTAAAAATTCTTCCATTTGTCTCGTCACTACTGTTTATAGTGTACGTGTATACGTGTATAGTGTAGAATAACATTTCACGTATACCTACTATGTGCGCTGTAGCAGGGTGCGGCTGACAGTTGCTTAATTTTTCTTTCAATTCGATTTTATTTGTAGACTAGAACATTCTGGCTGGGTTACATTTATGTGTTACTACAGTTATTAATGATTTAATATATTACGAATGTGGTACAGCGGAAATACTAAGTCATAATTTGTAATTCGCGGCAACTTTCAAGAGTGAAACGAAACGTTACTGAAGCGGTCACCCGCACTATGCTACAGCGCACATACTATAGGCACCTATCTTAAAATAAATACACTTTCATGATCCCAAGAGTAAATCTATTTTATTTAAGGTAATGCAGGCAGCATTTCCTCGCTTTGCGATACTTATTCGTTGAGGATAGCACCAGCTCTGGGGTCACTAGAACTATCTAAAAGACCCCAACGTAAATATTGCCCGTGGACTTGAACCTCATGTTCCAAGAGTCCCAATTTTATCCTTTAAATCTGGCATACAAGAGACTATTAATGTGACATACGTGTACAAAGAATATATGTGAGGTAAGAACTGTTTACACTGATTTTATTAAAGAAAGCTGTTGTTTACGTGATAAGTATTAAGATTATATTTATCTTATCTGCTATCAGGGTAAAAATAACACAAATATTTCATCAACCATGAATCATGTACTTAATTTGTTTATTCAACTAGTTCTGCCCTGCGGCTTCATCCGTGTTGATTCCTTCGTATCCAACTCTAGAAGTAAAATAAAACAAAAATATTTGTCTTGACTTTCTCAATTCTATTTAACTGGTGTATCTTTGTATGTTACTGTATATACCAGTCAAAATACTGATTTAAAATGGAAATATGTATATAAAATTTTATTGATGTCCGCCCATACAATTTTATGTTGCTGATCTTATGGCGCGTCTAAACGGGCCATGTTTTGCTGCAATTGATGGCTGCACTGTTGGCCACTAATTGCCCGGCCATTACAAAAATATTTTAATGCAGCTGATGGCCGAACAATCTATGGCTGGGCAATGTGTTGCAATAGTATTGCCCATGATGCAGACTCCTAAACGGGCTACACAAACCGGCAACAATGGCTGACGAAATCACTCTTGTCGCAGCAGCTTATATTGTTTTAAAAAAGAAACAGAAAAAGAAGAGATTGTGGATTCGACCTTATGGCGCGTCTAAACGGGCCATGTTTTGCTGCAATTGATGGCTGCACTGTTGGCCACTAATTGCCCGGCCATTACAAAAATATTTTAATGCAGCTGATGGCCGAACAATCTATAGCTGGGCAATGTGTTGCAATATGTCTGCAATAGTATGGCCCATGATGCAGACTAATAAACGGGCTACACAAACCGGCAACAATGGCTGACGAAATCACACTTGTCGCAGCAGCTTATATTGTTTTAAAAAAGAAACAGAAAAAGAAGAGATTGTGGATTCGACCTTACTTAAATAGGCGTGAAACTGTAGACAATTTGAGTCTAGTATTTCTAGTCTTGATAATAAATTATTCAAGAACTAGAATGTCAAAAGTAGTCATTTTTACGTAGTAATCTAACGTCAAATACAGCTGATCGCAAAACAGAATAAAGCAACACGCACACTTCACTCAAAGCAAACGTCATGTCGCGTAGAAAAGGATACACTATGCCATAACAAAGAGAGTGACTGAAACAACAAGAGAACTGGCTGTGCAATATTGCAGTTGAATTCGATAGCCTAGCGATCGTCCGGCCACCCATCGGGGCAACATCGGCCATATGTGGCTATTCAAAACATGTTTGGCTATATGGCCGGGACATTACTGCAATACTGCATAGTGTGGCTGCTATTGTTTGCAATGTTGCCGGCCACAGTGTTGCAGCCATCAATTGCAGCAAAACATGGCCCGTTTAGACGCGCCATTACTTAAATAGGCGTGAAACTGTAGACAATTTGAGTCTAGAAATAAGTCTTGATAATAAATTATTCAAGAACTAGAATGTCAAAAGTAGTCATTTTTACGTAGTAATCTAACGTCAAATACAGCTGATCGCAAAACACAGAATAAAGCAACAGGCACACTTCACTCAAAGCAAACGTCATGTCGCATAGAAAAGGATACACTATGCCATAACAAAGAGAGTGACTGAAACAACAAGAGAACTGGCCGTGCAATATTGCAGTTGAATTCGATAGCCTAGCGATCTACCGGCCACCTATCGGGGCAACATCGGCCATATGTGGCTATACAAAACATGTTTGGCTATATGGCAGGGACATTACTGCAATATTGCATAGTGTGGCTGCTATTGTTTGCAATGTTGCCGGCCACAGTGTTGCAGCCATCAATTGCAGCAAAACATGGCCCGTTTAGACGC